ATATACATATTTTATCATTGTATTTTAATATGAAATTAATGTATATATAATATATGTATATATAAAAAGATATATAGACAAATAAAATATATCTCAACACAAATAATTAACTTTTCATCCACTTTCCTTTCGTTTTTAGAGGGATTGATTTTGATGAGTTAGAAGGAAAGTTAATACATCCACTTTTCCATCTTTCTTATTTTCCTTCCTTACCAAACATGATGTTTTATTTATCCTTCCAACTTTCAATCCTCTCACTTTTCCATCATATCAAACGGAACATTAGATTTATCTCTAACACAAGCCCAAAAAACCTCCGTTCTGTCACTTTCATGTCCTTTTATGTAAGTTATTCTTGGCTATGTAACAAATTAATATAGTTTTATTTATCCAACAGAAAAATTTTTGGCCCAATCTTTCTTATTTGCATGAAAACACCAAAGAGCTGAGACAACAAATTCTCTGTGCTTAGTGGGTCTCCATGCATTAAGAAAGGCCAGATTTTCCATTTCAAACTAGAAATTGATTGACCTTGTCTAACTAGTACCAAACTTAAGTCCTAGGCAACTCAGTTCTGCCCATTTCCTTCAAGCTTGTGTTTGTTTTCCAAAAAAAAAACCAAACAGGTCATTGACCCTGTCCGTTGGTCCAATTTCCTAAATTGTTCCACGTGTCGAGGCAGGAATTATGTCTCCATAAAATGCACCAATAAAAATCAGACGCATGATGAACAGATCAAAACGTTTGTTCAAATCAATTTCAACAAGATACCTTAGGAAAGGCCAACCCTCAAAAAGGATAGTTTTGTTTGGGCAATTTTATACGCATGACTTACTACCAATGGAAGATGCGTATGATCGAAATATTCCTCTCTGGTCATTAGGCTGCCAAATTCAAAAAGCACACGCCCTCTTTGTTGAATTGCTTCAAAAAGCATACTTAAAGAAATTCATGCATGGTAAGAATCTAAGGGAAAGCTATATAGCAAGCAGGGCGAAGCTAAAAATTCATGTCAGGGTGGGTACAAATATTTTAATAAATTAATTTTTTTTTTACAATCAATAGAAATAGGACAATAATTTATATTTAATTACATCCTATTTAATACTTAAAAGTTCATTAAACCTAACATACCAATATTTGGTAAGCTTAGTATATACAAACGACACCAAATTTTTTTTTTTTACAAAATATGGACTAATATAAATCATTTAGAATTGACTCCGGTGAATTTTCATACTTTGAAACCGTTGCGTAACAACTTCATTATTTTTTATGTACACCATCATTTTATCACTTTGGTCTTAATATACATAACATGTCCAAAAAATTCATATTTATTTAATATAAGTGTACACGTGCCAAAAAAATAGGGTGGACATAATTAAAAATATTGAAGAAATACTTGAAATATATATAGGTAATGTTAAGAAAAAAAATTGGGTAAATTGTAAGAGGGTACACCAAATTAGACTTATTTGACAAAAAGTACACACTAAAAAATGTAGGGTTATGAAGTACTTAATTTTGATACTTATTTGTATTCAAGTACATAATTTGAATTTATCTATTTTTATTGTGACATTTTTTCCCTGCATTGGTGAATGTGTATTTTTTATTGAAAAAGATTTAGTTTTCAAATTATATTTGTGTATTAAATAAGTCCTAGTTTTATGAGAGAGAAATACAATACTTTCCAATAAAATTTCAAATTTTAAATACACTATTACTTTTAGCTTTTTAAGAGGGAAATATAAGGTTGTATTTTTCTTCATGAAGCTGGGTATATTTCTGGTATTATTACTGACTGAAGCCGATTTTCCTTCATCACCTGCAAGACGATTTTGTTGCTTCTTCAAGCCTTGAGGCGAGTTATGCTTCTTATCCATCCAGTTGCAATCCGATATTGGTCTTCATCGACATCGACAAGACACTGGTATATAAGAATATAAACAAATAAGCTAACCAAAAAATATTGTATAACACAACCACATAAGTTAATCAAATAACAGTGTATGACACAGTTAAATGTGAACCAAAAATAATGTATAACACAGTCTAATCTGTGAAGCACAAACTAGAATATAAATAAATTCAATGAAGTATAAAACAGAATATAAGCAAAAAAGTGAACCAATAATAATGTCATCCTTTTTTATGAAACATTGAAAGTATAAAGTGTAAAGTGTTACTTATGTCCAACCTCAGCTGATGTAAAATATAAAGTGTTACAGGATACACTAATGTTCTTTTATTTGAGAAAGTTTGAAAGTGTTGTACAATACTGAAAGTACAACACTTTCAAACTTTCTCAATGAAAGAACATAAGCGTAAAATGATAGATAAATATTATGTTTATGTAACACTTTAGGTAATGTCTCACATTACACAATAAGGGGGAAATGTAAAGTGTTGCCTTGTGTTAGTGGAAAGTGTAACATTGTCAAGAAATGTCTCATCTTACACTTAACATTGTATTACAGTCAACATTATCAAGGAATAATCAATTTGCATTTCTGCACACTGTATTATTACACCACAACAACAATTTAAAAAAACAAATATACAGTTCCACGTGTAATGGTCTACTGTTCTTTATTTTGTTTATAAACTAGTATGCTGTTATACTATATTAGTAAGTTTGGTACACTTTCATCATGTGTTACCCTTTACATATTACAGTTTATATATTACATTATGTTGTTAACACAATCAACATTTAATCTTAAAAATGTTTAATCACAGAGTATAAGATCAAAGAATCATGTCACTAAACAATCCAGGCAATTAACACTCACAGCACACAAATTTTTTAAAATAACAACTTTTTTTTCGAATTGTCCATTGTTAAACATTGTCTTGATAAATTTGTTATATTTTTATATGTTATCCTTTATATGTTACACTTTATATATTTACATTGTCATATTAATACATTCAACACTTAGGATTTACACACAGTGTAATCAGATAGAATTACACACAAGAAATAATAAACAATTGTGTCACTTAACACTTCACAGCACAATAAAGTTTTATAACCAAAAAAAAACAAGATTCAGTGTAACAAAATAAAAGTGTTTCAAATCAAGTGTGACAACAAAAGTGTAACATTCATTTTATAATTCAACACAACACAACGTCTGTGTGCATATGTATTCAGTCAATCTAGTTCACATAGATATGCCAGCAATTGAAAAAAAAAAGGGTTGCAACATCCAATAATTCATGGTATAAACAACACATAATTTAAAGGCTTCTGACCAAAAAACAACAAAGATGAACATTATTCGTCTCTCAATATTCAGACAAACAAAATAGGGTTCCAATACATGAAATTAAAGCCAAAAAAAAATGAAAAGTGTAATGTAACCCATTATGATAACACACAATTACATAAACATGAAAACATGAAAAAAAAAAAAAAANAATGTAACCCATTATGATAACACACAATTACATAAACATGAAAACATGAAAAAAAAAAAAAAATATATATATATTGTACTAAATTTTTTGATTTGGTAACCCATTATCATAATACACAATATATATATATATACACATAGACACACACACACATAAATATACATACATAGATTACCACTTCGATGATCAAAATAGTGAATGAACACATAATATCCAACCACAATCGACCACATTGCAACAACGAGCAAAGATCAAAGTAACAAGAGTTCAATGCCGTAAAAACTCACTTCAAATGACAATGCCGAAAAAACTCACTTATAAGAAAACCCTCTTTAATCGATCGACCGTTTGTAATCTGAATCGGCTTGAGGAAGAAGATGAACAATGAAATCGACTTGAGGAAGAAGATGAACAATGGAATCGATGAACAATGGAGATTCAACACCCTTTCTATGAATCGGCTTGAGGAAGAAGATGAATCGATTTTTTTGAATGGATATGCAGACTAGTGGTTTGGTGGGAAGAGAAATAATGAACAACCATTTTTTTCCTTGGAACAAAGAGATACATTACAGTTTTTGAGGAAGTTGAAAAGATTTTGAATTAATTGAGCCTAAATTTTAGCAGTTATGATAACTGTAATGTTACATTTTTTAATGAAATAAAAATAATAAAAAAGGGCATTTAAGTCTTTTTTCTAAATATTTTTAATGTGTACTTTTTGTCAAATAAGTCTAATTAGGTGTACCGACTTCCAAAGAACCCAAAAAAATTTGAGGGGTGACACATATGCTAGCTCCGGCCATGCTCTCTACTAAATCCATCAACTGTGCAAAGAATGACAAAAAAGCCCAAGGAATTGAGGAATGAACTTTACTCTATTTCTTCTGGTTGGGCAACTGGGAGTTGGCCAAAAATTTTATTTTTGTAATAGGTTTGAGTGGATGTAATAGGTCAAAGATTTTATTTTTTAATAAGTTTTGGTAAATAGTGGTGGGCTGAAATTTTTTTATTTTAAATGGACTTAATTTTTTAATTCTATTGAGTAAATAATGTGGGCCTAATATTTTTATCTTAGATTTTGGGTGGGGCACAAATTATTATACAAATATATAATATATATACTTAACTAACAAAAAAAAAAAAAATTGAGGGCGGAGCATGTGCCGCCCTGGCCCTAGGCTCCCTCTGCCCTTGATAGCAAGACATGCATGCACAATCAATGGACTGTGTTTGTTTGGTATTTTTTTTTAATTAATGTACAACAATTTATCTAATCTATTCTTCAATGGAAGAGAAAGGGAAATTCTAACATTGAGAATAGTTCAAATGATAATAGGAATGAGCCGTAATCCTAATTTCCAACTTGGAAGAATAACATGTTATACTCAAGAAGATTCTTGTAATGTAGAAAGTCAAGACTTCGCCGAACCATTGAATTCAGAACACACAATAGTTTCCTTTACATTGTTAATAAATAGATGGCTTTGTGAAGACATATGAGACTTTAAAAGAAGTTCATCATAGAATCAGTTCTTGGAGAGAGAAGAGAGAAAAAGAAAGAGAGACCAATGGCTGCAAGCATCATGCCCATAGTTAGCAAGGCTTATTGTTCATCTTCTCAGGTGGTTCTTGATGTTCGATCGAGGCCACATGTTGTGAGTGGTGGAGGTTTCGTGGTCACAGATTGTAGCCAAAAGGTTGTTTTCAGGGTAGAGGGTTGTGGAACTCTTGGCAAAAAAGGGGAGCTGATTCTAAAGGATGGTGAAGGAAATGATTTGCTTCTCATCCGCCGAAAGGTACACTCTGTTCTGATCAAACCATGCTAGGCTCATTTCAGTATATTCATGCATAAATACATATTTAATGCAGATACGAACAATAGATGCTATATATATATATATATATATACGAAAACTTATGGAAGGTCTAGCATCAGAGGAAATGCATGCTTTCCTTCTGAGCTTTTCTAAGGTATATGAAGGGATGTTATCTTAATAATGCATTACACACATACGCCCTTAGAGTTTCACATATGTATGTTATAGGCATGTGAATTGTTCCTGGAAGCCTTACTTCACTCAAGAACGGCAAAGGTAGATGTAGATAAACCATCTCCAGTAGCGAAAATTAAACAGCATTTTCTGGTTTTTTCATCATTCACAAGTTCAAATTTTTAATTTGAAAATGCAGTTTTTCCTCTGGCAATGAAAATTGTTTCAATATGTACCACCGCAAACATTGAAAACAAATTGACAACTATAAGAAAATGATGGAGCATACTTTAGGCATCTACATGCATATAGTTCTACCTCTGTTGTAGACAAATAATTAGTGCCTCTATTATCCAGGGAGGTATAGTTGAAGCACTAAGCATCCACAGGCAATGGAGAGGCTACGCTTTGGGCTACCAAGGATCTCAAAAGTTAGTTTTCAGCTTGAAAGAGCCAAATTCATGTCTTGTACAGAACAATCCGATCAGAATCTCCATTGAACCAAGTCAATGCAGCAAATACTCTAGTTATGAGATCAAGGGGTACTTTTCTGAAAGAGATTGCAGCATCATGGGCTCCAGAGGCAACATAATAGCACAGGTCATTTATACTTGGGACAGTAGTTTCTAAAGCTAGCAGAAGTCACTATGGCTTAAACCTAATTAATTCCCCCAAATCCCCAACAAAAGACGGAAAAGGATTCTCTAATGTTTGGATTTGTCGTTAATGTGCACAGGTTGGAGTGGAGAAAGTGATGGTGAGCAAGGATCTTTATCATGTAGTGGTGAAGCCTGGCATTGATCAGGTCTTCATTTTTGGAATCATTGCCATTCTTGACTACATATATGATGGCTCTACCAGATGCTGAATCAGAAAGAAGCTAACGATGAAGATAATTTTCCAACTTCCCAACATATGGGATATTAATGATATTTCACTATGTCATTCATAATGTTGATTTGATTTCTTTTCTGAGATGTACATATAGCGTGAGACATTTCTGAAAACTTCTACTTGTGTATCCTAGATACCTGTGGGAAATGAGAGCTTCTATTCTCTTTTAATTGTATACATCTGGTTTTTTAGCTTCAATTTAGGATTCAACTAAAGGACAACAGTATAGAACTGACATAGAGACATAACTCAGTATTTGATGAACAATAATGTCTTCAACATTGTTCAAGCATATCTGTAAAAGTCGAACTGATTCTTTTGATGGTAGGGTTAGATTATATAAAAGTGAACTCCAAAAGCAAATGTCAAAGGAATAAACAACTAACAGGGATGCCCATATTATCCTAAGGTAGGGACCTAAATATTTCATCTTCTACGCTATTGAACCGAAAATATAATGGAACTTGTATGGCATGTGAGTAAATGGTTATTGTCATATTGATTAATTGCTTCCTCTGTTGCCCATGTGGCCTTATAAGCTATTTGATTATACAATTAAGGAACGAATAATGGACATACAATATAAATATTCTCACCCACTTCAAAATGAGAGGCCATATCAGTTTGTGATAATTATAGAGCCTTGTATGCTCTGTTTTCAGAGGCTAGTTTAGGTATTTCCACTCTACACTAAGCTCAAGTTCAATTAGTGAAGGGAATACGAAATGCATAAAGCAGATGAGACCTGGCAATTATGCCAGGTTAGGTGAACCTACTTTCAAAGAAAATTCTAAAGGGAAATACTGTCATGGCATGAGAAATTGATGGAGTATTCAGGGCATCAAGTCAATCAATTAGCAACTTCCAGAATTACAAAGTGTCAATGTGAATTAGAAAATGAACTAACCCACTTGGTTTTTTAGTTTCCTATGAGAAGAAAAAAAAAAGAACTGAATAATCCCAACTAGGTTGAACTGTACGAAGAAATGGCTCATCAGATCCTACTACTCCCTCTCCCCATTGATAATACTGCTCTTGATATTGGAATATGGTCTGAGTTACTTTAGTTTTTTACTAGGGGTAACACATGTCTGAAAGCACGGTGCAATGTGAATGGTTTTGAGAAAAATGTTGGTAGTCGTTGGATGAGTCTATTTGAGACCGTCAGATGGACTTATTAAAGTAAGCCCTGTTTTTATATTATAGATAAGTGGGTAAAAATGGGGTTGACAAATGCTTCATTGAATGTCACTATAGAATAGATATGATTCTGCTAAAAGCCACACCACTGGACAGTGGGGTGATATTCCATATTCTAATGGACCTACTTAAATCTTCACTCTCTTCTTAGCCAAGCTGATGAGGATAGTTTTCATCTCTTAGAGCCCAAAGAATATTTTCTAGTTTATAAGCTATGAAAAAAGCAGGTAGAGCCTTTCATTCTAGGATTACACTCATATGGAACAGAGAGAGTTTATCCACATTACTGCATTTTTTATGTGGGTTGTATAGGATTGATTGTATCCCTAAATAATTGCCCAACAGAAAGATTTATCAAAATTCATGGCCATAGCCAAACCTGTGGGTGTCCATGTGTCTGTCCCACATGCTTCTTGTCCTATCTATTGATAGCCATGCATCACCAGAAAACTTAGCATAGCTGAGTACCTGTAGAAAGCTATTCTCTTCCTGATATGACTGGTTCAGAATAGCAAACAGAACCATTCTGGTCATAACTATTTGGATCAATTGCCATGATCCAATTGGGTATACCCCATTGATGGGAGCCACCCCAAGTTCTAAGTACGTGTTTGGTCATTCTTGAGCTCAATGGAACTGGGTAACATGTTAACTGAATTGGTTTGGGTAAGACAAAATTGATATACATAGGAAGCAACCTAAGGCTAAGAATGACTGTCTTGCAAAGTAAAAAAAAAAAACACATAAGACCAAAAGAGTAGGAGAATCAACCTTTTTAACCGCCTTGTACTCTCCTTTCTTTCAATTCAGGAGATGTTCCCAGAAACTTCATTGTTTGTCAGCATCCTTATTTTCCTTTCTGCCCAATATTCCCTCATTTACTTGCCATCTAAACAAGCATTTCACACTGTTGGATAGCCTAAAAACAGATATAAAATGATAAACCAAACCAGTCCAAACAAAAGCCTTGAAATTGAATTGCTCTATTCATTTTCACAGAGCAATTGCTAGTGTAAACATACACTCATCAAGTACAATAGTCCCTCGTAGAGAATTCGAATCTTCAGAACATCCATCCAATGTCATAAAATTCACGTTTAAGATTCAGAAATTGTACCCACATTCAATCTACTTATGCGCCCAGTGACTCAAGTGTAGGCATAATTTTGAATATAGATATATTATGCCATTGAAAAGAGAAGCAAAAGGCTGTTAAAAAACAAAAATCCAGGCCTAATTAATCCATAATGTTATATATATACCAAACTCAACGGTAAGGTTACTCCATTATGACCTCAATTGGAGGTCACGATTCGAGTAGGAGAAACCGCCTCTCTACATGCAGGGATAAGCCTCATGCACTCGGTTCACCATTTGTTCTATATACCAAAGATGAGAATATAGAGTACCTACATATCATCAGCCTTTTTTTTTTCAGTAAACAAAAGAAAAACTAAAAATTAGCATCAAACAGTGATTACAAACTTCTGGTGTCTGGTTCACTTTCAAAGTTATCTCTAAATTCATAAGTAGTTAACGTTTGTCACCGGGACAGAGAAGAGAAACAACTCTCGGAGCGTACCAGCGAGTGAGAAGGGACCTGTAGAAGAGGACTGGTAGGTGTTGATCGGAGAGCTCTCGGAGAATCCAAACTTCTCCTAAGAACTCGTACCATGGCGAAGATTGGATGCTCTGTAGCACTCGCAGGAGGAGATGAAGATCGAAAGCTTTTGCAGAAGTTGATGTGCCTGTTCAAAGCTTCTTCAGTAGTTATAAGCATCTCTGATCTCAAAACTTCATCTTTCACTGCTTCAATGCATAGGCCACATATCCACCTTCCACTGTAGCGCTCTCGAATTCGGCAAATGTATGCAAGAGTACATTCCTCTGTGAATCCACATGAATCACATCTCACGAACTCAACCTCCATTGGAACACTTGCTTTAACAGCAGGAAATTGCGATTCTGAACTCGAAATCACCATTTGCTTGGAAGTATTAAGAGGGTTAAGGTGTTTCCGAACCTATGTTTGTGCGTCTATTAAATTTTCTCGTGCACAGAGAGAAAAAGGACAATAGTAATCCTAAACTGAATAAAAATTAAATTAAAATAGAAATTAAATGACGTAATATTATTATAATGATAAAATTTTAAAATTTATATGTGTAAAAATGGAATAAAAAATAATATTATGATAATACAAGGTCATTTTATCTATTNTATTAAGAGGGTTAAGGTGTTTCCGAACCTATGTTTGTGCGTCTATTAAATTTTCTTGTGCACAGAGAGAAAAAGGACAATAGTAATCCTAAACTGAATAAAAATTAAATTAAAATAAAAATTAAATGACGTAATATTATTATAATGATAAAAATTTAAAATTTATGTGTAAAAATGGAATAAAAAATAATATTATGATAATACAAGGTCATTTTATCTATTTTTTTAATCAATTTAATATAAATACACTTTTTTTTCAATTTCTTTCTTGACTCATCATCGACCTAAGTGGGACACATTATATACAAAAAGGTCCCGCACTCATCATCGTGAACGTCAAAAAAAAAAAATTAAAAATATATCACAAAAAATCTGAATTCATCAAAAATTGCTCCCNTTTCAATTTCTTTCTTGACTCATCATCGACCTAAGTGGGACACATTATATACAAAAGGGTCCCGCACTCACGCATCGTGAACGTCAAAAAAAAAAAATTTAAAATATATCACGAAAAATCTGAATTCATCAAAAATTGCTCCCCTGATAGAGACCTTCAACTATGCACCTTTTTATCATTGTGTAAAACTATAGTCCTTGTGTTTGTTTTTCGCTCAGTCAAATGGGAGGAATACAATTGAAAATCGAAAATTATTACTCGATAGTTTGGATGAAAAAGTTTCGAGAATTATTATTAAATTTGAATATTACAAGAAAACCTTTACTAGGGTGGTAGTAAAAGTCAGAAACTCAAAGGTAACTAATTGGGATGTTGTTATCATAAAAAAAAAAGTTGTTTTTGTTTTGTGTGTCTATTGCTATTAACAAATGATCATGGTTACTTGTCTCATGGATTTACCAAGAAATTTTGTAATTGAGTTTATGTCACTACACCAGGGCTGTGAACCATAGAAATACTATGAGTCGTAAGTGTCATTGTATCATTATTGCCTTCCATTATGTTATGAATTCTAAAGGTCCAATGATT